CCCGAGAGGAGCCCGGCCAGGGGAGGTGGTGGTGGTGGGGACGGCTGAGCTGCGGCTGCCTTGGCAAACAGCTTTTCCCTGCATTTGCTCTTTTCCAAATGACAGACATCCCCTTCTCCTGGGACACCTGACTCCTCCTCGCCAGCAGCCAGCTTGCTTCCTCGCAGGCCAGCAAGGGGGGTGAGCTGAGGATGCTTGGTGGCCAGGGTGGTACATTAGAGTAGAACCTTAGAGTTACCTATTTTGGCTTCCCAGTGGCAATCGGGTGCCTCAATGCCTTTAAACATTGGCTTCTTAAGAGAAAAATGATCACTGCCTTCTGACAGCATGAAAAAGCACAGAACTTTCTTTTTAAGCCCCATAGAAATTTATCTTTTGTGATTTGCGGTAGCTGTTCAGTTTTCAGCCCGTGTCCCAGCATCCCTGAACAGCACTTGCTGCGTGCACCCGATGGACAGCGCAGCCTTCTCTGACGGGAAAAGCAACAGGCACTGGTTTATTTATTTGTTCTAAGAAGGGGTTGGAGTGTACAGGGTTCACGCCTGACTGCACACACAGATAGCACGCTGGATCACTATGGAGAAGCAGACTGGGAGGCTTGTTCCCTGGAATAAAGCCTTAGTTTGTGCAGGTTTTTGGATGTGCACCCAGGGCCTGGTGGGATGTGGCAGTCTTCCAGGCACTGGGGAGCTCTCTGTCATTTGTGTCTCAGCTCGGTCCCAGAAGTAAGCAAGGGCCTGAAGGCAGACTACGCTAGGTTCTGGTCAGGTCTCTTCTGGGGAGGGGGTCGAGGGCCTGAGAGGGATGCGCTCAATAATGGGTATTTGCCTTGTAGGATTTTCACCACATCAGTTCAGAGTGCTGGGACAGACTTGGCTCTAAAGTCAGAAGAACGTTCTGGAAAGGGAAGAAAGGAAATGGGAGGTAGAGGAAGAAAACAGGAGAAAGAATATGTGGGTTAAGAGCCAGGACACCACTATATGAAGTGAGAAGTTTTCCTTTAAAAGCTTTCGTTCTGTATCATTTATTTTATAAAACAAGGTTATTGCCATGGCCTGAGACAAAATGTTAAGGCTATTTCAAGCAACAATTTGGCAATGTTACAGCACTACCGGTCATCTACTGACACAGGGTCTCTATACCTCTGGTGTAGCAGAGCAGAGTTAGTGGTATAGGCTTGACAGAGTGCTGTAGGGTGCCATGACATTACCCTGTTTCCCCCCCCAAGAGTTTCAAAGAGGACTGGCAGGTCAAAAGCACCACAAAATTGTAGATCTAAGTATCCCATTTAAAAAAAGAGGAGGAAAAAGGCCTCATAAGGGAGCACTGAAGAGCAAGAGCCAAGTATCTCCTTGTTCTTTAATAAGTGAACGGCAGGTAAAGCCTGAATAAGTGACCGGAAGGAGGTGCAGCAAAGTGATCTGCAGAATACAGAGCCGTTGAAGCTTGATATACAGGGGCTGGCGAAGTTTGTGTGGCACTGGCCTGTGTAAGACACTGCAAGTGTTGCGTTGCCAAACTCAAGAATGCCAGAACTGTCAGGTCCCAAGAAACGAGGTGACTAGAAACAGAAAGTTTCTTTAGCGAATGCAAAATGCTGGTTTGTAATAATATCTATGTACTTGCTTTCCTGTTTTGGAATGGTTAGGGGGTGCTTGCTTCGTGGTTTTTCTCTGTAATTGCAAGTGTTAGTTCCCTAATAGTTACCACAGTGTAGCTGAGTAAGAGCCTGTGAAAATCCTGTTTCATCATAATAAACGTGAAGTAGCTGGAGGTCGCCTGCCCTTCAAAGAGAAGGGTGGGCTGAATCTGTGAACCGGTAGGAAAGTGTACTGCAGAGCAGGGAACACTGGTAACTTGTTCCTGGAGACTGTGGTTTTGTCAGAGCGCTGGGGCTCTTGGGGCCTCCTGATTCCAGCAGCCAGGTCTCAGAAAGACTCGGTCATCTTGTGCTGAGAAATACTGAATAATCTGGAGACAACTGCAGTGGCTGCGCTGCCGTGTCTGGACACATGAGCCGACAGTGCTGTGTTTTACCTGTAGAGAAGTGATTGTTACAATGCGTGTGAGGAGGGACTGGTGTACAGCTATAGCATGAACGCAGTAAAACTGAAAACAAGAAATAAAGAGTAAAGACATAATGAAGAGATGTTTGGGCTACAGTCTTTTCTAGCATAGCTCTTCTGGTTGCTTGGTTTACAAGGTACGTTATACCGGGCTGTATTCACTCGTATAAAGTCAGCCAGCCTGCCACCGGTCCCAGAGCAAGGGCTGGAAAACGGTATTTCTGGTCCTAGGGAGTAAGAGGCGATTGGATTACTAATTTAAAACCCTGTGATTTTAAGGTCTGGTCGAGTGG